TTTGAGAAACGGAGGCAAAAGGATCGCCTGAGTCCAGGGGTTCAAGAACAGCCTGGGCAACTTGGCAAGACCTCGTCTCTACAATAAATCAAAAAATTAGCCAGGCATGGTGGCACATACCTGTGGTTTCAGCTACTTGGAAGGCTGAGGTGGAAGGATCGCCTGAGACCAGCAGATCAAGGCCGTGGTGGCCGTGATTGTGCTACTATACCCCTGCCTGGGTGACAGAGTGAGACTTCAACTCAAAAAATAAATAAACAAAAACTCTTCCTTCTAAATAAGGTAGAGTCATAAGACCAAACCACCAAATAAACAAATCTGTGCCTACCTGCTCTGGGTTTCCAAAGCCCACCTGTACAAAGGGAAAACACAGTTGCAAATTAAGCCATAAAGACAAGCCCACTAGATCCATGCCACAGTCTCCATCCTCCGGCTGCTGTTTATTACTTCTGGGACGAGGCTGTCATGTTCACAAGTACATCCTGCATAGAAAGAACTTTTCCATTCAATGCCCTGTACTCCACTGGCATGAGCTATGCACAACATCAGGCTCTGTTCTGACAAAATCTCAAGCTCACGTTGCACCTTGTTATCCCAATCCGTCCAGCATGGGCTTCATAATTACCTAGTAGCGCAGTTTAGAATAGAAAGCTTCAATTGTCCCTTAGCTAATTGAAGGCCAGGCAGAGTAAACGTCTGCCCTAAAGTAACAAACTAGGGGAAGAGCTTGAATGAAAAATCTCTGGTACTCATTCTGAAATCAACATGTAAGAAGCTTGTTTTGTAAATGAAAAATTGTTCTTCACATTAACCTCTGTACACTGAGTTAGCTCTTGGGGTGGACAGCTTGTATATGAATTTGATATTACAGCAAATTTTTTCCTGGAGGGTTCTATTTCATAGGTTCTCAATTTTGTGGCTGGTATTGAGATTTAGAATATATCCTCATTCTCCCCTCCCCTCCCATCTGTCCCAACCAAATACAAGCCCAAGGTCAATGCCAGCCAGTTGGTGCTTGGCAGCGGCTTCTAAAGGTAAAGGCGGAAATGGTTGGAAGAAGGCAGAGAAGGGGGACACTGCCAGCACCCACAACTGCTGGGGCCACCCCCAGATCTCATTTCAGAGCCAGTTTCCAGAGCCTCCCAGAACATAATCCTTTTTGAGACTCTCAAACTTAGGAGCAAGAATCAAATATAGTACATCATAACTTTCCTACAAGGTTTAAAATCCAATACTGACAAACAAGTCTATGCTACTAAATTTATCTTGAGATACTTATGTTGTGTTGATTCTAAATGCTGTCCTAGTGCAGGAGGGTAAGTGAAGCCCATTTCAGTTACTAACGTGTAAACTCTTAAATAACATTTCACCACACAGAATGTACCACTGTGGAATGATTATTCATGATCAAAAAGGACTGACTGAAGAAAGATTAGGCTGGTACATATCCATCCACTACCAATCCATCTGCTTATACACTCACCCACCCATCCTTCCATCAATTTGCCCACTCAGTCACCCACTCACCCATCCATCCTTCCATCTAACTGCCCACTTATTCACCCACTCATCCTTCCATCCATGCACCCATTCATATACCCAACCATTCATCCACCCACCCACCCATCTCTCCATCCATCCACCAGAGGACTGGTTCATCCACCTGTCTTCTCATCTACCCATCTGTCCATTCATCAGTCCATCCAACCAACCAACCATTTGTTGAGCACCTAATCTGCACAGGAATTATGCCAGGTATAGGGTACTGAGAAATAAAAAAGTAAAATCCTAGTCTTCCAAAAGCCATCAGTCTGGTCCAGCAGGCAGTAAGGACAGGTAAAGGAGTGAGAAACACAACCATGACATGAGTATGAGTCACTATGCCTGTCTTCCCCCACCAACAGCCCCAGTTTGCAGAAGTTGCTACTGCTTATAGGACGGCGAGTGTCTACTTGGAAGGTAAACTCTTAAAAGTGGAATTTCTGAATCAGAAGGTGAGTAAAACTGTAAAGCTTCAGTTACACTCCACAAAAAAGCCCTCCAGATGGGTTTTGCCAAATGCCCCTCTTCTCTGATGCCCACAGGGTGGCAGCTCCCTTTCCCTTCATTTTAAAGGTTTTTACATCAGTTGTGAATGAAAACTTTATCAGCTCAAGGCTGGGATGACACTTCCTGAGAGAGTTGACACAGCAGGTAGAACTGGTTTGTATAAAAGTAAAAGGGAGAAGCAGGGACGTTTCTACCAGTGTTATGGACTGAAATGTGTCCCCTGCAAAATTCATATGTGGATGCCACAACCCCCGGTATCTCAAAATGTGATTGTGTTTGAAGATAGGGCCTTTCAAGAGGTGATTAGGGTAAAATGAGGGTGTTAGGGCCTGTCCTAATCCACTAGGACTGGTGTCCTTATAAAAAGAGGTACCCTGCGTCTTCAAAATAAAATATGTAAAAAAGAAAGAAAAAGGAAGGAAAGAAGAAGAGATCGGGACACAGACACAGAGAGGGATGACCGTGTGAGGACACAGAGAGGAGACAGCATCTGTAAGCCAAGGAGAGCAGCCTCAGGAGAAGCCAAACCTGTTGACACTGATCTCGGACTTCCAGCCTCCAGAATTGTGAGAGGATACATTTTTGTTGTTTAAGCCACCAGGAAATGGATACACCCAGCTTTCATGGGACCCCCAAGTCAGTGGGTAGGAGCATTTAACAGAAGCAGATTCCTGCTGGTTTAATGACCGAGCTTGAGGGTCTGATGCAAAGCCTCTGAAGGCAGCAGGAGCTGGAGGTGAAGGCAATTGGAAAAGGAGAGGTGGGCTGTTCAGGACAGGAGAGGCGAATGTGCTGGGTCTGCTCCCTCGAGTTCAGGTTTACTTAGCTCTAATGCCACCTATACTCCCAAACCCAGCCAGAAGTCACCTCACTCTCCCCACCTTTGAGTCTCTGGAGCACCATGTAATGTCTTTAAAAAGTGGGAAGTAGGTGTCATCACTTCAATCATAAGTATTTATGTCTTTCTTTCCCTCCTACACTATGAGATCTTCTGGGGGCAGAACCTCTGTCATACTTGTCTTTACATATAACACAAGATCTTGAACCTCACAAAAACATGTTACCTCCATTTGATTTGCATGAACAACCAGCAAATAAAAAATAATTCCTATCTCAACATTCTTTTGTTATCCAAACAGAATACGACAAAAACCACTTTTTAGTATCAATGCTTCAGTTACCAGATCAGTAACTTCTATTATTTACACAGACATGTTTACATGAGTTTGAACGTTTGCAAAACACTGGGCTTCTTCATATCTTTGCATCATAGATTTTTATTTTGGTGGGCAAACGACAATCCTTTGCGTGAATTTTCACTTCCATTAATCTCAATTTAAATTTTTCAAGTGTATTCTTTCTTGCTGATCCTTCAGAAATTAAACAGTTTCTGGAAAAAGTTGAAAACAACTTTTCAACATTCATATTCTAGAATTTCATTGAGCTTCACCACTCTTACAAAAACACACACAACAATTCTGAAAATTGCTGGGTTTGTAGCTCAAAAGCAGAGCGCGTCTGGAACTAATTTCTTCAGAGTGGTTATGCAGGCTGCTGGGAGACGCAGCCGATAAAGGCAGCCCGCGGCCCCTCCCCTTCTCTTGATCCCTTCAGCATTGACAGTGCCATGCACGCACGCACGCAGCATGCACATGATAGCTGTTCAGGCAGAGCCCACCGATCGCCCAGCCCTGCGGCCCTACACAACTGGCCTTGCGACTGCGGCCGCCTGGAAGTCGGTTCTGAAACAAGACCACAGCTGGCACTGGGCACGTGACACTCTCGGAATCCGCAGTCATAAAGCTCTAATTGTGCTTCTCAGACACAGCTCAATTCTGTAGGTGGATTATTCATTGGGCTTTCTTACCCATGAGCTCTTGGTTTTAGCCTCGTAGACTGTTAAGTCACTGCAGGGACTTTCTCCACAAGCACACACAGAATACCAATCCTGTCGCCTCAGAGCCACATAAATATTTGATACTCTCGTATAAGGCTGACAGCACTCAGTTTAAAGCCAAATGAAATCCAACCCCAGTACATGAGGTTCTTGAAAGCAAGCATTTAAACTGGTTGTTTCTGCAATAGAACCTCAAGTTTTGAGGTCAGTTTATAATGTGAATGTCACTCCAATCACACAAGATTTTCAAGGCAACAGAAAATCCACACTCAGTGACCCTACTGTGCACACTTATTGCCATCCCTCCACCAACCCTTTGAAAAAAAGGTTCCACCACTTCTGCAGAGATGGACATTCTCTCTTGCCTTCCTCATGTGCAAACGGCAAGATTATACTCCGGATTTAATCTAAGTCCCATCCTAGCCACCACTAAGCAGCCACAGTGCACATTCTGGAATTATGGCGTGCAACCTCATAATCCCCTGCTGCGGCAGTTCTGACAGATGCTCAGAGCCTCTCTGGGAGTCAACTGACTTGATTTCTATTTTAAAGCCCAAAATTAATTCATTAGCTAAGTCCAATTTAGGAAGGCTTGCCTTGTTCCTTTCTGATCGACAGTCCTTAGAGGCAACTGTGATTTTGAGGCCGTGGCCCAGGCACACAGCCGTGTCCTAGATGGTTAAAGCTTCCCTTCAGTCAGGTTCTCTGTACAAAGCATTCAGCTCAAGTCCATTAAACTGGACTTCTAATTCTGTCTTCACAAACAGTCTCACTACAGAGAAAACACAGCAGCCATTTTAAAAACTCAAGATGCCACCACTGTGTTAGAAGGTATCTCTACCCTTGGGATGCATCTCCAGGCAAGGCTGCAGGATTCACAGGCTCTGCTCAAAACTCTAGGATGTTGGGGACAGTGGAAATCATGCCTGCTTTCAGCTGCTTTGGGTTTTGCAAAAACCAAATGCCTGTCCATGCTAACCAAGCATTCACCCACCATGAAGACGCCCACCCTCAAGGTACCTTTTCAATAACCCCAAACCCAAATTTCACCTACCTCAGAGTGGACTGCCCCTCCTCGGCACAGACTGTGTGGGGAAGCTCTTCTCTGTGCTCACCAGGGTCCTCTGCCTGCCTTCGCTGTTCCACAGAAGCTTCCTGCAAAGGGCAGCACAATGAGACACCAAGTCACCAAGCTGGCTTCTTCAAGACATCTGTTATTATGAAAGCCCTCATTTGTGGGTTCGCCTTATGCGCCTGTCCCACAATGTCAATGACGCTGCCTGTTGTCCTGTAACAGGATTCGGCCGTGTTTCTTGCCAGTTCAGCTCTACAAAGCATTTCATTGACACGACTGAACTAAGACCCTGCGTCCACTTCTGTTCTGGGCAGGAAACAGAACTCCTACGTGAAGCCTGGAAAACTGCATGGCACAACTGGCAAAAAACAAAAACAAAAACAAAACAAAACAAAAAAAACAACTGGTCACAAATTACTGTCGTGAAATCTCAAACCCTAGAACTTTCTTAGGAGTCTGGGATGCTTCGCTCCTCACGAATGGAGCAAGCATGGAATTCTCAGGTCACAAAGAATCACCCACAAGCCAGGGCAGACCGACAATGGGAATAAGCGCTGGCAGGGTCTGTGTGGGCTTTCAGAGTCGGAACGCCACAGAGCAAACCAGTAGCTTTCTTGCATGCACATAGTACTAAGTATCTTGTTGTGAGTCTACTGTTGGTTCTTTAAAAAAGAAGCTACATCAGTTACTGCAAATTTTTTTTCTTTGAAATGTACAAATGTAGGTGTAATAGGCAGAAAAAACAGAAAGGGGGTAGGGAAGAGAGAGAGACTGTTGACTCTGAAGCATAGCTCAGTATATGTAGTTTTGTAGAAAGCTTGAAGTCAACTCTCTCCATCAAAACTCTCACCTTAAAAAAGCACAACAGTTTAATGTGTTTTAAATACATTTTACCCCAGAGCAATCCTTAAAAATACTCTCAAATAAAAAATAGAATACCAATCCAAATACTATAAATATTAAATGGCATCAATGTTAGAGAAGTGGTTATCGTATGTTGTCTTACACCTTTATAAAGCAAGCATCTATTTCCATTTCAGAGGAATTTGCTACTATTTTCTTTCTTTTTTTTTTTTTTTGAGTTGGAGTCTCATTCTGTCGCCCAGACTGGAGTGCAGTGGCCTGCTCCCGGCCACCGTAGCCTCGACCTGCTGGGCTCTGGCGATCCTTCCGCCTCAGCCTTCCAAGTAACCAGAATTATAGGCATGCGCTACTATGCCCGGCTGATTTTTTGATTTATTATAGAGATGAGGTCTCCCTGCCCAGGTGGGTCTCGAACCCGTGGGCTCAGGCAATCCACTCACCTCAGCCTCCCAAAGGCGCAGGATTACAGGCTGAGCCACCAAGCCCGGCTACTATTACTATTTTCTAGTTTCCCTCCAACTTCTTTGCTTAGTAAGGGGAAAGACAGCTGAAGCCAGAGATTATGGCAACGAGGCTGAAACAAAAGATGTGGGTTTTTAGAAATATAGACTTAAAATGGACTGGGACGTATGGATTCCTCCCCAAGCGCTTTCCATACAAGTTAATAATAGAAAAGCTGGGGAGGCCGGGTACAGTGGCTCATGCCTGTAATCCCAACACTTTGAAAGGCCGAGGCAGGAAGATTGCTTAAGCCCAGGAGTTTGAGACCAGTCTCACAACATAGCGAGAACTCATCACTACAAAAAAAAATTTTTTTTAATTATCTGGGCATGGTGGCACACATCTGTAGTCCCAACTACTCGGGAGGCAGAGGAGGAAGGATCACTCAGAGCCCAAGAGGTCAAAGAGCCATGATGGTGCCACTGCACTCCAGCCTGGGCAACAGAGTGAGACCTCAACTCAAAAAAATATCAAAAAGCAAAGCAAAGCAAAGCTGGTGAGCATAAATGCACAAACAGCTGTTCCCGAGTAGCACTGATACTGGCCGTCATATTTTGGGTGTGTCCTGTCCCTGTCTTAAGATGGTAGTCAAGAGCAGCTGTGCCCTGCTCTGTGGCTTGATGTTTACCTGTTTGTAGTGGTCTGTGGATGGTGACGACCGGGACCTTTCATGAACATACTGTGGCCTCTCATGCTGATCCAGACCAGCATCCAGGATGTCATCTGCTGAGTGATACCGCCCAGAACTCCTGGATTCCAGAGGCTTCCTCTGTTCCTTCCAAGAAGCCTGATACTCTGCAAAGGTCCCAAGTCTCTGCAGTGGTTCCAGTTTCCCTGCCTTTTCTGTTTTTCTGTGATCATTGAGGCTTTCCCCAAAGGAAGTCGTGCGTGACCAGGGCTCTAAACCCTCATTTGGGCGAACTGCTGTCCGCGGCCTTTCCAGCTTCTCTCTTGGGACACCATGAAGCGCTTGTCTCTGCCCAGGCTGCTGGGAAATGGGTTTGCTTGTTTCCTCAAAAAATTTCCACCTGTCGGCAAACGTGCCCACCGTATCCTCAGATGTCCTGGGGTGCTGGCGAGGATCGTAGCCCCCCGAAAGGCCTACCTCGTTCATCTTCTCTGGTTCCGAGTATGACTTCAGTTTCTGTTCTGCTGTGAACCGTTTCCGGCCTCCGATGCGGGGAATGTGGGGCACGCCACTTCCAGATGAGGGCTGCTTGGCCAGGCCCACCTCCCAGAAGTGGGGCACAGTGTCTGGATCCTCTGTCCTGTGTTCTGGTGACCCCAGGTAGTGGTCTGCTGGGTTAGGATCCAAGTCACGGCGCTTGAACGACGTGGCCCTCAGGACCCGGGCTTGAGCCTCCTTCAGGTGGTCTTTATAGGTGCTAGTGAAGGGTCCTTCTGGAGTTATGCCTCCCAACTCAGCCCTCCAGCTGCTGGCAGCATCCCCTGCACAACCGGCTGCAGTCAACGTCACCGTGCTTTTGCTTTTCTGCAGCTTGGCTCTGCGCATCTGGATCTCATTCCGTAGGGTGGTGGCAAACCGGTCACTTCTCCGGGTGGGCTTGCCCACCTGGGCATCGAATGGCGGTGGCCTCATGGTGCTACCATCCCGGCTGTTCTCGGGTTGGCGCTTCCCCTCCTGGGTCAAGGAGTGCAGCAGGGGTGTCTCCTGCGGGGATATTCTGCTGCTCTCCCCGTCTGCCCACTTGAAGCCAACTGCTGTCTTCTGCTGACTGGCTTTTTCAGTGCGGCTGGCCCTGGGAGGCTCCTGGGTTCCCATGGGGCAGCTCTCGGTCCCTGCGTTCAGTGAGTAACATCTTCCTGTCTCGTGGGCATCCAGAGCCCCCTCGTGCTGAGGTAGGTGATGATGTGGGCTCTGGCCTGCCAGGTGCAGGGGAGGACACTCAAGGGCCCCAGGGGCCACATCAGAAGGCCAGCATCCCCCTCGGAGCTGAGCTGCTTGGGGGCCTCCTTGCAGGGGCCGCCTCACAGGCACACAATGATGATGGCTTGGCCCGCCAGTCTCCACCTTCTGCTCCATGGCACCAAGCCACTTCACTTGAGGGGGGCTGTCATCCTGGAGGCAGGTGGCTGGTGACTCCTGCCTGAGGTTTTCAGGGCAGAAGGGGCTGTCATCACTATACTGGCGTGGGTGCTGGCCCCCATGAGATGACTGTGGGACACGCACATCCGTGCTGGACAGAGAGGCCTGGAGCCTGCCCGGAGCCCTGTTATCGGAGGATGGCCAGCCACACTCTGGGCGGGCCTCTTGTGGGCAGCCTGGGCCTCCTGCTCCCTTCCCACCACCCAGGCGTGCTGGCCTCCACAGCCGATCGGTAGGCTCTGGTCTCCATTCACCACGGGGCTGAGTCCGAGCCAGGGCAGTAAAGTGCTGCACAGTGGCTGCCTCTGAGAACGGAGGGCCCTGGGCCTTCTCATGGCTCTTGGTGGCAGCAAAGCTGTCACTGCGGAGAGGAGGAAGGGGAGGAGGAGGTGAGGAAGGTGCTTTTTTCTTATCGGGAACATACCAGATAGGCCCAAAATTGGACCTCCCAGAGGGGGCCAGCTTAGGCTCAGAACTGTCCTCTGGCCTCAGGCTTTTGCCACTGTCACTGGAGACCCTAGGTGGGGGGAAACACCCGAACCTGTCCTCCAGGCCTTGAGGGTCACCCGCAGCTTGGCCCTGCCGGCTGCCACCCTGTCTGGGGGCCTCCCAGAGGCCCACACTATAGAGGATGTTCTCAGCTGAGGAGGTGTCGGCCTTGGACAAGGTGTGGTCAGGAGTGCTGGAGCTGGTGGAGAAGGAGCCGTAAGCCGAGTCACGCTTGCTGTGACCACCCAAGTGGTCAATGCTGCTGTTGGACTTGGCTGCCGAGAGGCGTCCAGAGGGGTGGTCCAGGCTGTCGACGCTCCCCAGGGAGCTGAAGTGGTCAGAGGTGCGCTGTAGGTTCGTCTGCTCCCATGTGCCGGACAGGTCATGGGAGGAGGAACTGCAGAAAAAGAAGAGGACAAGGCACGGTTTGCTTTAGCATCAGGAACAGCTAAGGGCGAGACAGCAGGACACAGCTGGCCCCACAGAGAAAAACCAAGACACCAAACTAACTACCTAAGGTAAGATCACTGGGTTTGACTTGACCTCAGCACATCTGGATTGTAGCACAAGGAGGGAGAAACTTCCTGAGTGCAGGCTGAAGAGACCATGTTCTTCTGCTGACTGCCTTCCTACCCAACAGGTGCCTTTCAGCACTAGTGCACCTCTCACCCCAATGCCCAGGTCACTAGCAAGTAATGCCCGCACGAACACTTCTGTGGTCAATCAATAGCTAAGTGCAAGCTAAGTGCAAACTATAACTCACGAGCTGAAAATGGTTTTTCTATTTTTAAATGGTCAGGGGAAAATAAATCAAAGAAGTAATAGTTCTCCTATTTGACCTGCGAAGATTGTATGAAATTCAAATTACAGTCCATAGGTCAAGATTTACTGGAACACAGGTGCACCCACTTGTGTGGGGGGGCTGTTTGTGGCTGCTTTCACACTACAACAGCAGAGGTGACGGACTGCAACAGAGATTGTTTGGCCCACAAAGCCAAACATATTTATCAATTAGCTCGTTACACAGCCTGTATGTACACCCCTGGTTTAGTGTACAAAATGATTCTTTTTTTTTTTGAGTTGGAGTCTCACTCTGTCACCCAGATTGGAGTGCAGTGGCATGCTCCCAGCCACCACAGCCTCAACCTCCTGGGCTCCACAATCCTTCCGCTTCAGCCTTCCAAGTAGCCGGAACTACAAGCGTGCACTATCACGCCTAGCTAATTTTTTATTTATTGTAGAGATGAGGTCTTACCAAGTTGCCTGGGTGGGTCTCAAACCTGCAGGCTCAGGCAATCCACTCACCCCAGCCTCCCAAAGCGCTGGGATTACAGGCTGAGCTACCGAGCCCAGCTCAAAATGATTCTTATTGTGCATTATTAACACAAAGGAAGCAACCAAAGAACAATGTTAAAATGGAAAGAGAAAACCCACGTACTAAAGTATTAATAGCACCTCTTTAAACTCAGACGGATGTGTGATTGAAAACACAAGAGGCCGGGTGCGGTGGCTCATGCCTATAATCCCAGCACTTTGGGAGGTCGAGGTGTCAGGATTACCAGAGCTCACAGGCTCAAGACCTGGGCAACCTGGCGAGACCTCATTTCTACAATATATCGAAAAAATTAGCCGGGTTTAGTGGCGTGTGCCTGTAGGTGCAGCTACTTGGAAGGCTGAGGCGGAAGGATCACCTGAGCCCAGCAGGTTGAGGCTGCAGTGGCCATGAGTGTGCCACTGCACTCCAGCCTGGGTGATGGTTGAGACTCTGACTCAAAAAAAAAGAAAGAAAGAAAACACAAAAGACAGGCTTTACTAGCAAGACCACAGGCTGCTGCATCTAGGCAACTCGTCATACCTCATGGAGTCCTTGGAGCTTCACGTGAACACCAAGGAACACTTGCTCCGAACTGGGATAGTGTCTATGAGGGGGAAATAAACAGGCAACTGAGACATGAATTCTTTTGTGAGGTAGTAAGAGAGAGAGTGTGTGTGTGTGTGTGTGTGTGTGTGTATGTGTATGTATGTGTGCGTGCGCGCGCGTGTGTGTCTGATAATTCTCAATGGTGAAACTATTTATTTATCCAGGATGTTAAAAGCGTTCCTTAAAGCTCAACACAGCTGAGACAGTCATGCTTCAAGGGATAAAAAATGTTGTCTCTACACGGAGTTGGGGGAGAATGAGGAGTAGAACCGTATGACTAGGACAAGGATATAGGAGAATAATTGACTGAACTGTGTGCAGAAGTAAGAGGACTGTTTGGGTTTTGTACCATCTTCTGCAAGGACAAGGCCAGGCATCCTCACACACAGAGCATGTTCCTGACTGCCCTCCCCGCTGTGTTCCCGAGATGATTCTTCCCGAGATCCGAAGTCCAGGCAGATGTAAGCAACACTAAGTGCTGTTTCCACATAGATGTGGGCAGTATACATGTTTCTGTCATCAAGAGACTGCCACATGGGCTTAATGGAGAGCCCATAACCTGATGCCACTTCAAGAATGAAATTAAAGACCCACTTTTCACTTAAGTTTTACTACTCAGTTGAGAATCTGTGGTTTTTCAAAAATACACTGGGCTTTAAATACAATCGTCTTTCATCACTTTAAATAGGTAATTTAAAGTACCTGTTGAGTACTTGAAGATGTTTCCTTCACATCACTTAAGTTTGAGATGTTTCCTTCACATCACTTAAGTACTTCACTTTGCAGTTTTGCAGACCAGTGTTTATTAATAGCCAAAAATTGATTCTGAGTGGTTAAGTTAGCTCCAAACACACACCCAAACACACACACACACACACACACACACACACACACACACACAGATACACATGGGCACACACACATACACACGCACAAACATGTACACACACATACAGGCACACCACATATGTGGGGGCCTTTACCACTAATCCCAAGAAGGTGGAGGAGAAGGCACAGACACTTAGCAGAACTTCCCTGGAAGCTTTTATGAAACACACCTGCCGCCCCATGAGCGTCTCCTGCCTTCCAGCCCATGTGTAAAACCCTAGAAAGTTGTGACTATGGGCACAGATGGGGGTGCTACAGCTGGCTGGCCCAAACCCTACTGCCTGTTAGCCCACTTGGCCATCCCAAAGGGACTCTGGCAACACCCAAGTCCTGCAGCTTTCCTCACATCAGCAGCATACACAAGGAGGCGGGTTCGTTATCCCATCGTGCTGTTTTATTGTGTATTGTCTGGCATCACCCACTGGCATGATTAGTGAAAAACGTAGAGACCTCTGACTATAATCATGCGTCAATGGCCTGGTCTCATCCGAAACATCAAGATCATTCTGAAGTCAAGGAAAGCACACTCATGACAGACCCCAGAGGCCTGAGTGTCTGCAGAATATCGCACAAACCTGGCATCCTCACTGGGAATGAGTGCTTACCTCGCATGGTGTCGGCCTTGCCAGGAAGGGCCAATAGCGGAGGGGAACGGAGAGGCCGCCATCTCCGGGTGGCTGTCAGAGAACTTGGTGGCGTGCCAGGAATGAGGTCTCCAGCTCAGCTCGCTCCTCCTGGAAAAGAATGGAGGCGATTTAGGGGCCGTGCACACTCGGGGCTTTCACACTGAGACAGTGCAAGGACAGAAACCTGTCACGGCAACCCAGGCGAGTGCCCAGCACGTGTTCAGGGCTCCCTGCTGAAGCCACGACACACATTCTCCTTAGGCTTGTGTTCACCACCCATGTGCTGCACAGGCTGCAAGGGTACAGCAGCCCTTATTCTTTCAAATGCGTTCCTCCATGAGTGAGTACGATTATTATTTATCAATTTAAAATTTTACCAAAGTAAGAAGAAGTAAAATTTATTCTAAATAAATAAACAAATCTTGCCTTCTCCCCGCCCCAGTGTGAACAAAAACAGAATCTCCCCTCTTTTGTTGGAGAAAAGGTCAGTGAGTCCCTAGGTGGCTGGGTCACACAGATTCAGATTGCTTATCTCTATTTACCCAGGCCACTAAGTAAATACAGCTGTCTTCAAGACTCTGTGCCTCTCAATGCACATCTGTGAAGTCAAGCAAGGGTTCCCATTGCCCGAGACCAACAGGCTCAAGTCCCTTCCAGCCAGAACATCTGAAAGTGGTATGAGCCTTCCAGGGTTCCCATATCGCATTCCCCACCATCCCATGTGTAGCTTATCTGTGTTTTGGCCACACCTGCCCAGGTACCATGAGGTGTGTCCAGCTAGAAATTCCTGAAGACATAACAGGGTCTCCAGGGGAATGTCGAATGTAAAGAGCCACCCAAACATGCTTTTCCTCTATCCTTACCATAGAAAGTGAGCTTTGTTTCTCTCTTCTCTAACTGGGACAGAACTGACCTTACTGTGGACAGCTGACAGCCCAATCAAGAATGGAAAAAGAACTCAGCTGAGCCTCTTAAGGTACTTTACAGAGATCAGACATTTTTCCAGCAAGTAAAAACATTAAAGAATATTATGGGGCCAGGCATGGTGGCTCATACCCTGTGATCCCAGTACTTTGGGAGGCTGAGGTAGGAGGATTTCTTGAGCCTAAGAGTTAAAAGCCAGTCTGGGCAACATAGCGAGACCTCGTCTCTACAAAAAAAAAAAAAAAAAGCATTTAGAACACAAACCTTTCAATGACTCAGGTCATTATAATGAGGAAAAGTATATGGGTGACAAAATGTGGCACATGTTCACTTTATCATATTTTCCCATGAACCAAAGAGAATGCATCAGACAGACACTCATTATACCACAGAAGGAAAGGAACTATAAAGTCCAGGCTGTACCTCATAGAATTTCTCAAAATCCTCGTAAGGAAGGTTCTGGCCACGTGAACTTCATTTTCAGCTGGCTTTTTCTGTGCTACGATATCCACAACTTCTTTCATCTTCCTTTATAGTTAATTAGTAAGGGAAAAAACTAGCCTGGCTGAAACTGGAGGCAAAGGAGAGAAAAGAGAAGGCTGGGAAAGGAACATAGCATTCGTGGCAGCACTACTTCAAGCCCTCCACTGGAATAACTGGGCTATATCTGGATTAGTGGGGTAGCAGTTCTCCATGGACAGATGAAAACTCTCCCAGAAAGCTTGTAAAAAATGGTCATTAGCAAGCATATATAAAAATATTAGCAACAAAATATGTGTGGTAGATGACAAGGAATCCCATGACCCTGAGATGTCATGCCCTGGGGAAGCCCAAGCAAGCATGTGTCTCCAACACCAAGCAGCCCCAGCGGTGGCGGCATCTCAGCCTGCACACCAGACACAGGAAGGAGAGAAGCCACTTGCACATATGGTCCCTGCAGAGGGGACATGGAGAAAGACTGAGGAACCCAGCTGGCAGCCAGAACCAAGGCCCAAAACTTCCAGGAATGTACTGCTGTTCAAGCCACCCCCACGGAGGCCCCCATCATTGTGGAAGAGAGACAATGAGTCCCTGCTGCACCCTGCCTAGATTCCTGCTTTGGCCCTGACAGATGTGTCAATCCTGGGTATGGCTGCTCATGAGTAATGAGACAGGAGACAAGTGACTTATTCTCTTAGAGGTCTGCTAGTCACCACCAGGGACATTGGGTAGCCACAGCCACAAGTGGTGATTTAAATTAATCAAAATGAAAACATTCAAAGTTCAGTTCCTCAGTCATGCTAGCCACACTGTGAGTGCTCAGCAGCTTCATGTGGCCAGTGGTGACTGTGCAGGGCAGCATACACATGGGCCATTTCCATCACTGCAGGAAGCTCTATAGCAGGACTGTCTTAGAGATATATAATGCCAATCCACACAGTAGGAACACCACTACCTGCCTGTGAGCACCTACAACCCTAGCACCCCTAGAATGGTAACTGTCTACATTGCCTCCCCATCCCCCCGACTCTTCCATAAAGTACAGACAACTATCTTTTGGAAATTTTCTAGAGCAGATTTTTAATCTTAAAATAACCGGCCCTAACACACAGCATATTTCCGGGTATATCCATATAGGTCAACAGCTTTGTGCTTAGGCAATTTTACAAATAGAAATTCTGTTTTAATGCCACCAATTTGGGTATAAGCATTTTATGCACCAAAGATCATCAGAATGGAGGATAACAATCTTAAATCTGCTTCTGAAAATATGCAGGCAGCACTTTCCTCCCTCAAGACACAAAGCTTGAGTTTGCAGAACTGTTTCAAAGAAAACGATCATCCCCACAGACTGATTTCTTAAATTCAAGCAGAAAGAGGAGCTAAATCTTTAGCTTAGTCAGTTACTATCAGAGGAGAGAACAGCTTAGTGGTAACATTAACCTAGATTAGCACAGTTAGCCAAAAAAGCCCGAAAAACCAATCTTACCCTTTCACTAGCCTTATATGAAAATAAGGACTAGTTTGGTTTTGTAAATGTCCCTAGCGGTGACTACAGAAGCAATCTAGCAGCTGAGAGGGCTAGACAAACCCATTCCTGACCCCAAACATCATTCTATTAAAACCTGAATGTTATACTTTAAAATAACACTGTAACAATAATTAATGATAATATTCTAGATTTATTCTTTTACCTTAGAAGTTTATTCTATAATGATGATAATTCAACTTATGTCTAATATTGACTTTAACTGCTGACCATTTGGTCAAAATGCATACTGTTCCATAGAAAGAAAAATCAACAAACAAAATGTGGTCTCTCCATACAATGGAAGAGCAATCAGTCATGATAAGGAATCATGTTCTGAGTCATACTGCAACATGGATAAACCTTGGGGACATTGTGCTAAGTGACACTAGCCAGTTACAAAAGGACAAACACTGTGTGACTCAACTTATTGTTTATGCTACGTGTATTTTACCACAATTACAAAAAGACCAAAGTGTATATGGTACATCCCTTAGGATGTGTCCATCAGGGGGACACAAATGCACAGGTTGAGGTCAAAATGCAGGCCAGGGGAAAAGGAAGTAAAGACAAAAGAGTCAGAACTGGGGGCATCAGAGCCACGAAGGCTGACAATGTGGAAGAGGGTCCCCCACAGCATCCAGATGTGTGCGGAAGGCAGCTTGGGTGGAGTTGGCAGAGGAGGGAAGGGAACCGATGCTGCACAAATGAGACTTCTTGGACGGTCATGAAATGCATCCTACCTGACTTGCAGCTGTAAGGACTGCCTAAAGACAATGGTCAATGCTCTATGAGGCAATGAAAGAATGGAAACAAACCCAGAAGCTCCTTTTAAAAAGATAATACATAGATGTGTTGATTTCAAGAGGACAAAGCCAGTAGTTATGATATGAATTAGGGCTATTTTTTAAATAACGAAATGAAGACACATGGTAAAAAAAAAGATTATACTCCTTCCTCTCTGAATTGGTTACTGGTGACAGTGAGATTTTCCTACCATATATGTGCTGTTTTTCAAGTCCTCTGAATTTCCTGGTGTGTAATGAACGTGTATTTGAGAATCAAGCCAGGGTTGGGCTGTTTTCTGTTAGCACCTCTGAAACAGCTGGATTTGTGTTGATAAGGAGAGATGACATTCAGCCCCAGCATGCTGGTCACACAACCACATTCAGTGAAGTCAGGGGAACGGGGCACTCTGGTGCCACCTAGAGCCTTCCCACCCTCACCGTTCCTCTGGCTCAGTTTCAACCACCCCCAGATGGAACAGGAACAAGAGAAGAACAACTGAAGATTCTTTCAACTAGGTGTGGTGCTCCCTCCCCACAAGGTACGTACCCCAGCAACTTGAAACCACGGGTCCCTAGAATTGCAGGCATCATGTCAAAAGCAGGACACAAACATGTTTCTGTGCATTTTCTTCCACCCTGCAGCCTTGGTGGGTGCCCTTCCTTCCCCATTTCATCAGGTTGTATGACCATTCTCTCGTGCCATTATCATTCTTCCAAAACATAATCGGTACTCAACAAATAACTTCCCTTCATATAACTAATCTTTCACATAACTACCAAAATGTCACGGTGTGGACGATATTAACACTGGGTTTTTTGGTATACCAGCTGAAGTTATTCATTCTCATAGAGGGCTCCCCTGAAATCCTTTCCCACAGATTGTATACTAAACAATTGAAATTTACCTCAACTTTTTAGAATAATTTTACATGCTAGGTAGTATTTTGGGTGATTTTTTTTATTGGAAAATATAGTTTATTTAAAAAGTAATTTAGAGAGCGAGGAGAGGAGATTCACCTCCCCAAGGTAGGGGAGGGGACCAAAGCCAGGAAACACAGCAGCCATAGCTCAAAGAGCCACGGGAACACACCAGTTTAACAAAGCACTGGCCTGATTTTTTTTTTTTTTAAAGGACAGGGTCTGGACCACAAATATAAAAATGCTAGGATGACACTGAAAATTAAGAACAAGTGACCTAGCTCTCAAATATTCTGCTTCGTTTTTTAGAGGAATTCTTAGAAGAACTGCTTCAATGAAATCTTTATTACTCACAAAGAGAATTCCTTCCCTCCTCTTAAAAAAAAAAAAAAGTCACGTGTGCCTTGGGTTATTTTCCTAACCTTTTAGAAGAAAGAAAAGAAGCACTACCTCCCAAAACAAATAGTGTG